AACAACAACAACAACAACAACAATGGATTGATTCCGTGATGAGGAGATGGAGGCAGAGAGGTTTAGTGACTTCCCAAAGGCCGCATGGTAGGTAGTGGCAGGACTGGTCTCCCAATTTCAGGCCAGTGGGCAGGCCCCACAGTTTACAGTGCAGTATAGTCACCTCAGACGTGTAGGAAACTTATAAATGCAACTGTGTGCTCAGAGAATGGCAGTGATTTACTTAATATTACCAACAGGTGATTCTGCCCAGCATTTCACTCTTCCTGGTAAGTGTGAAAAGGGACAAGGGAATCTGCTTTCTCTCCAAGGGTCTCAGACCTCCTCTGAGTCTGTCCTTGTGGGAACACCTCTCTGTGCTTAACACAGCTACTGAAACTTAAAGATACATGCTTTCCCTACCACTTGATCTCTAAACACAAGCCAAATCTTTTGTCAGCACTCAACTGAATAAGTTATCTAATAGTATTCCAAAATAATGCAATTCATGGGCCACTTAAGGGACTTCAAGGGTAATACTGCCTACCTGCAATTTTTGCAGTACCTACCAGCTTTAGAAAAATGATGCCTGATGCTTACATGTCCTTATCTATGTGTCACACACTCTTCTAGATGGTTTGCAAACATTTACTCAATTCTTATAACTATATGAGGTTTATGCCACTACTTTATCATCATCCCTATTTTATAGGAGAGGTACCTGAGGCACAAGGAGGTTAAAAACTTGCCCAAGTCACATAACCATTAAGCTGGAGAGATGTGATTTGAACCCAGAGATCCCATTATCCATTATCCCAGGCTCCATTACCGTATCCTAACTCCATATAAGATGTGAGTCTACTGTTACGAGCAAAGGCATTGGTAACATTTAGAGATGAACATGTGGTGGGGTCATAAAGCAAGAGAATGGCTTCCTCTTCCCTCCTAATCTGATCCCATATGCCTATCTATGCCTTGATATTTGAAATACTGTTTGTGGTAGTTAAGGTTGTGCGTCAACTTGGCTGGGCCTGGTTGAGTGGCTAGATGTAGTTAATATTCCCCATGATGAGACGGTGGAATCTACTGTGAGAAGCTGAGTAGCTACCTTTTGGATGTGGTCTGCTTCCAGTCTATAAGAAGATGCTTTGAGAAAGGTCTTGAGCTTCTTGGCACATTTAAATTCTGCATTTGACTGATTCATCAGTGAGTGTCCTGCCACGTTGCCTACCAATCTTGGGACTGTTTCTGGACTTGAGCCAGTGGCCTGCTGTGCTGCTTGATAATCTTGGGAATGTGCCATTTTACTTGACCCTGGGTTTGTCAGCCTCAGCAGTTAGCAGCTCACACCTCTAGAGACACCTAGAGGTTAAGAAACACCTCTAGCTCCAGTGGGTCAAGAGCAAGGGGCAGAGCTGAAGCCCACGTTCAAGGCCATCCAGCCCCTAGAGCTGGCACTTAGAACTCAGACTTCTAGCCTCCCAACCTGTAAGAGAATGAATCCCTGTTTGTTAAAGCCATCCACTTGTGGTATTTCTGTTACAGCACTAGAGAACCAAGGCACCATTTGAGCCAACAAGAGAGAAAGAGAATTACTATGAAGAAAATATTTGTTGTTGTTGAGTCAATTATGTCTCCTGGTGATCCAATGTATGCACAGTAGAACTGTTCTATATGATTTTCAATTCTGTGAACTTTAGGAAACAGATTACCAGGCCTTACTTCTGAGGTCCACTGGTTAGATCTGAACAATCACCCACTTAACTGTTTGTGCTACCCAGGGACCAAAGGGAATATTAAGGGAAGAAAAAAGGTCAGGAGGGTTTTGGGCAGAAAAGGTTAGAGTAAGGTTATTGTAAATTAGTTTATACCCTGGCAAACGTGGAAGGATAACTACAATATATATAAGAAAAATGAGAGCAGAGCTTTGGTTCATCTTCCCCTTAACACATTCTCTCCTCAACCTCAGATATTTGCAGCTATAGATGCTCAGTGAAATAATATTCGGGAAAATAACACATAACATGGAAATGACTTCCCCTTGACCAGTTAGCTTGCTGAACAATACCTGGTACCTCATGAAGCAGATCTAGCTGCCACAGACATATGAGAACAGGAGATCTGTTGTTGTTGTTATGTGCCCTCGATTCGGACCCGACTCATAGCGACCCCTCCTTGGGTTTCC